ACTAGCCGTCGGACTTATTTTTATGTAATATCCTGTCTTTCTCAATTACCTTATGTTTCAAAAACAGCTAGTCCGACTTCATGCTCCAAGAGCGTCTAGTTATTATAGTTTCTAATAGCTACATCATTACAGTATTGTCAAAACAAAGTGATTTACATGCTCGAAGGAAATTTTTGTCTGTTTTTTTTTTACATAGAATCAAATGGTTTGTAACAAAATTCCTTCATTGGCTAATTCAATTGCTCATGTATTATTTATAGTGTTTTTAAGGATGGATGATCACAAATATGACATATATAAGTGAAAATAAAACATTTTGAAAGCATTGTCAAATCGAAGCCGTAATGTCTTCTATTGTGCAGTTCGTGCTTTCAGTGCTGCTCATYGCTTCTTTCGCCTCTGCAAGTCTCAATACAGAGTACAGCAACTCAGCATTCCTCGATGAATCTAAAACTTACAAACTTTATTGGAAACTTGACGATGTTAAAAAGATAATATCGTTTGCTGTCGAAGTCRAAACACTTGGATGGGTTGGCTTTGGGATATCGCCTGGAAATGGRAATATGGCTGGATCTGATGTTGTGATTGGCTGGGTTAAAGGCAATAAGGGTTATTTGAAGGTATTTAGGACATTCATATTGCATAAGTGCATTATAGGCCGTATATAGTTTTAAGTATTAAAACAAATTATTACAATTTATCACGTAATTTTCTCTTAACCAGATAATTAAAATCTGAAAATTCCATCGTAAACATTCCAAATAAACTCCATTAAACTATAATGCAAAACAATTCGTGAGTTTTGCTTATAGAGTACAAGAATCAGTCACAAGACTAAAGAATGAGTCAGACTACGTTTTGCTCTAGTGAAGATCACCAGATGATTAAAATCTGAAAATTCCATGGTAAACATACTACATAAAGTCCATTAAACATTTCCTTTTCATAATACAAAACAATTCGTGAGTTTTTAGAGTGCAAAAATTCACAATTAAAGAATACGTCAGAGTACGTTCTGCTCTAGCGAAKATTTTTGTTGATGTTTTATGGATTATTACTATAACAAAGGCCGATCTCTTAAAARCAACTTAAAGAAGTTGATAGCGCTGAAAGTCAACTCTAGTGTCACACCTACCATTCTCCTTTCTAAATAACATTAACCGAAGTTAATTGCTAATAAAAAAAGTTATTCTGTATAACAATTCAAAATTTACATCTCATGGAGTGTATAAATGASAGAGGAAGCAATACYTCACGATTTCACGATTTTTAGCAGTAATAAAAAACTATATTTTCCGTAAATGTTGCGAAGAAAGAGAGGAAAAATATTTTGGGTTACATTTTGGATACCTTTAGAAATGTCAGGATATGTTTCACTTCTGGTCAAACAAAGGAACAAGTCAAGKGCAACAAACATTTTCATTATATAGAAAGCTAGTTAAGATACACTTTATTCCATAAACTCCAATAATGATACATTAAAATTTTTTAAATTTAATAGTTTAAAATACAAACTTAGAAATACAACTATAACAAGATCATGTCATACCATACATTGCACAAATCTTTGTACAGATTTTTAAAACATTTCACTAAAACAATATTTTGAATATTGATCCATCTTTCATTGAGAATATCTATAGAAATAAGCTATTTCCCATGATAGCTTAAAAAGAAATATTTATGCTAAAACGGATCTCCAAAAAAGATTTTCTAAGGAGAACCATTTTAACATTATTACATGAATCAATAACAAAAATATGTTGTTGGGCCCCAATGGTTTGTTGAGCATGATGTAATACACATACTATCTTTCAAATTTGACTTGAATTTTATCATAATTATGCCAAGGACTTAATAATATTATCAAAAAAACAACTTTTGAACAGATTTCGCTCATGCAGTAATTGTCATGGTTTTTATACTTCTCAAATAGTGACTAAAGCAAGGAGTAAAGCGTGGACTTCACTAGCGCATAAGCATAGGCATAAGCACGAAGCACGAGAGTCATATGCGCCAGTGAGAACGGGCTCAAAATAAGCATAAGCATGAGCACAAGAAAAACGAGCAAGGCTTGATCTTCTTGTGCTTATCTCATGCTTATCTCATGCTTATGCTCAGTGAGAACGGGACTGCATAGGCATAAGCATAGCCTAGTACCGAAATAATACGCTCGTGCGCATGCTCAATGTCTTATGCTTATGTCGAGCCCGTTCTCACTGGCGCATATGATTCTCATGCTTGTGCTTATGCTATGCTTATGCGCTAGTGAAATCCACGCTT